TCAATCCTGAACCAGTCAGTAGTTGTATACAGGGTTCTCATTGTTGCTTTTTGACCCGCATACAGGTTTCTTAAGAGACAGGTAAGATTGTCTGGTATTCCCATCTATTTAAGCATTTTCCACAGTTTGTTACTATCTATACAGTAAAAGGCTTCAGTGTAGTCAATGAAACAGAGGTAGATGTTTTTCTGGAATTCCGTTGCTTTCTCTATGATTCAGCACATGTTGGGAATTTGATCTCTGGTTCCTCTGCCTTTTCTAAATCCAGTTTGAATATCTGGAAGTTCTCAGTTCACCTAATGCTAAAGCCTAGTGTGGAGGATTTTGACCATCACCTTACTAGCATGGGAGATGAATGCAATTGTCTGGTGGTTTGAACATTCTTTATTACTTTAATACTACTTAAGGCCTAAGAGCTTAGTAACTTATACTAAAAGAAATCAAGTGACTTGTGCTAGTTCAGGTAAATGTCCCTGCTGGGTTCCAATTAAAGAAACATACATGGCATATGAGTGATGTCTATTACATAATAAGCTGTATTCCAAAATTCATCCAGGAGTGCCATATCTACAAGCTTTCTCATAGATGTGGTTCAGCAGTAAAGAATTTACCTGCAATGCAGCAGACACAGGAGAGACAGGTTTGATCCTTGTGTCAGGAAGATCCCCTGGAGAAGGAAATGGCAACCTGCCCCAGTATTCTTGCTGGGAGAATCCCATGTACAGAGGAGCCTGGTGGGCTACAGCCCACAGGGTCACAAAGAGTCAGATGTGACTGAGCCAGAAGCATGCGCCTATCTACTTTGCTTAAAGTCACATCTGTAGGCCCAAAGAAAAACCTTTCAGATAAACAGGCAAAGGAAAAATAGCCCCAAATCAAAATAAACAAAAACACATTTATTGTCTTTTCCTAAAAGATGGTATCATGATTTCCTGTTACATACTAGAGCATGCTACCTTATTTCCTTCTTCCCTGGATGCTTTAGGTTCTGAATTCATTCATTTCAACAGATATTTGAGCACCTTTTATGGAGCAAGTAGTTCTAAGCACTTGAGACTCATTTGCAAACAAATAGACAAAAATCTCTGCCAACATGGAACTCTATTATAAAAAAGGAAAAAACAAAACGAAACACTAAATAAGGGTTTTCTTAGACAGAGGCAAGGAGAGATCGAAGAAATTTCTAGGATGAGATTTCAAAAAAGTTCTTAGATCATGAAACACAGAAGCAAGTACTATTTTAAAAGTGAATATGTGGAGGAGCTAAGATGGCGGAGGAATAGGACGGGGAGACCACGTTCTCCCCTACAAATTCATCAAATGAACATTTGAATGCTGAGCAAACTTCACAAAACAACTTCTGACCACTGGCAGAGGACCTCAGACACCCAGAAAAGCAGCCCATCGTCTTTGAAAGGAGGTAGGACAAAATATAAAAGATAAAAAGAGAGACAAAAGAGCTAGGGACGGAGACCCGTCCCGGAAGGGAGTCGTAATAGAGGAAGTTTCCAAACACCAGGAAACCCTCGCACTGGCGGGTTTGGGGGAAGTTTTCGAATCTCAGAGGGCAACCTAACTGGGAGGAAAAATAAATAAAACCCACAGGTTACATGCCTAAAAGTGAGTATGTGTTTTTCCATTAGTTTACGTAGATATATACATAATGGTCTTGGAAACAAACGTTTATTGAGCAAAAATAGGCCATTTTTCGGTACCTTTTCTTCTTCACCACTTGACCATCAATATTATGTAATGTAACCCAGATGAACAGATAGTGTGGGGAAATTTAAGAATGTATACATGACTAAGAAAATGTCCCCTAAGTAGACGTTTTCTTTAGTCTCTCAGTCTGACCAGTTTACCTTACTCACTGGTGTCACTAGTAAGTTCAACTTCAAATAGTGCTGATTACAGTACCTGAGCTACAAAAATAAAAGATTCCATTTTAGCAAAGTTCACAAATACTGTTTTAATCCAGCTATCCACACTGTCCATCTAAAACAGCACATGTCTCATTTACATGGAACTGTCTTAGCTTTTTAAACCAGTATACTTTATGAAACAAATGCTTTTCAAATAGCATTTCAATGCTAAATATAGGATTAAAGAATGAAAAAAATTAGTCATGGACATTCAGTATTCAAAGATTTGAGATCACACAGAAAACCACATCCAGGTGAGTTAATTTTTCACTTTTCATCTTGAGAATGTTGCTATGGGATAGACATAGTCAGCTTTCATTTAGGTCTTATACATTTTAGGCACTAGTTTACACAGTTAATGCATATAAAAGGAAACACAAAATCCAAAACCAATTTCCAACTTAGAATGAGTATATAGCATTGCTTAGTTTTTCAAAATAACTAGAGATAAATAAATAGTTAGTTGTGGTAGTACCTATATTAAGTTATTCCATTGGAAAATGTGTTTGTTTCTCAATAGGAACCAATTTGCATTCTTCAAAGCATATGTAATTTTTCACTGCTTACCATCTCAGTACATAGTAGAACTGTACTATCTACATTCTACATTTGGTTAATTTTTTTTCCACATGCAGATAGCTAGGCTACAAATGTTAGCCCCTCAAAAATAACATCTATTTATATAGAAGTTACTTTAAAAAATAAGAAATGGTACCTCTCATGTACAAAAGCCACACGTTTGTAATACATTTTAAACCTCTCTGATACTATTTTAAACCAATTAATGGATTGATATAAATGCATTCATTAAAGTCAAGTAATAGTACATACTAAAAAGAATTGTGATTAACTGTTAAAAGGAATTTCTAGAATATTTCTTAGAAATGTTTATGAAATTATTCTATCACAAAATTTTTTTTTTTTTTTTTTTTAACAAATGCAGTGAATATACCACAGTAAACTCTAGGATGAATAATGCTACCTCTTGTTAAAGAAGATTGTGTACATTATCAGTCAAAGCCCACTTGATCATGTCAGTAATTGAGAGAAACAAACTGATATTATTATGGACTAGAATAGGAATTCAGAGTATAGAAAAAATAATTTACAGATGAAGCTGTTGATTAATATTAAGCCAGATTCTCTTTCATTATGTTACCCTCTAAAATTTTCAGAAAAATATCATAATGACTCTCTTTTTATTATCTCAAAGATTCCTCAAGACATACACAGTGAAATGGTGATTAACTTTCCATAGGATCCATATGAACTAGGATTGAATTTGGAGCCATGGGGAGGGGCAGGGCGGGGGGGGGGGGGGTGGGCGGAGTAGAAAAGTACACCTAAACTAAACTATCTACTTACCTTTCATAAACCTTTAGAGACAGTCAAGAGTTTCTTGGTACAGTATGAAAATTACAAGAAATAAGACTTGGGAAACTAGCAATATTCCGTCTCATCGAATCTAATGATTTTTAGAGCTAAGGAGTTGGCAAGAACTTCAGGCTTGATCACGTCTTCTGTCCTGATCATTTCACCCCAAGACACTACAAATCATCTATAAAACTAGTTAATCTTTCTTAGGTACCTTAGACATATCTTAATGTCACAGTATTACTTAGACATATCTTAGTATGTCACAGTATTACTTTTACTGTTAATTATAGTTTAGCATTTCTCCAGATCACTACATTTCTTTGAATAAGTCTTTGTGATCAAAGTTGGGCCATTACATCCCACAATTTAAGTTCATCTATTGATTACAGGTTTCATTTTATATATATATGTAGCTTGCCAGCATATTGTGCTCCAAACTAATTGTGGCTTGGCAGATATATTCTAGAAAAAAACAGTGGTTTTATGTGCTTTCTACAGAGTGAGTCTAACCAACAGAAGTGAATATATTTGGTGCAGACAACCTAACCATATCATTTAACACATTAATTTTAGTCTATAAGTTTGATCAGTATCAATTTCTCTTGCTTGAGAGGAAGCAGACTATTCAAGAGTGAATTTATTTGATCAGTGGTACTCTATGATTTTGAACAAATTCCGGGAGATAGTGAAGGACAGGGAAGCCTAGTGTGCTGCAGTCTGTGGGTGTGCAGGGTCAAACACAACTTAGCAACTGAACAACAATTCCTATGTAGAGTCCCAATGACAGAGATTCCCACAGCCATTGATTTAAGAATAATTTTTTTTTCCAAAATATACAAATTGGGGTTCATTAGTTCTATAAGTCTGTTTACTTTCAAGTCTCCATTTTAAGATGTATACTATCTGCTTGCATGTTTGTATCCCAGACCCCTCTTCCCATCCCACATTCTGTTACCCAATTTCATATCTAAATTCACACTTAGCTTGATTTGTAACTTGGAGTAATTCCAGCAGACAACCATAAGGATGTGTCTATAGAATGCCAAAAATCTAACCAATTGTGTCAGTAACTTAGACATTCATTCTTGATATTTTGTCTACATCATACTAAATGTATTTAATGAACTTTCTTAACTGACTAAACCCCTGACATTATTAGACATGGCTGTAAATAATAATGAGAATAGCAATGAATGTCATCAAACAAATGATACATTTGGGTCAGCACAGATTAGAACCTTAAGGAAAGTGATTCCAGTTAATCAGCATGGACTAAAATCTTTATGATATGGTTTCAAATTGTATTCTAAGGATGTTAAGGATCTGTAACATTTAGTTATTCTCCAATTGATTTAAAAAAAAAAAAAAACTAGATCAGGGAAGTACCTGCTACTCAAATTAACCAGAAATATTAAATGTTATTTTGCATTTGAGTTATAAAAAAGACCAGTTTATACTGGGCAACTTACTAATGACAATGACGACTTAGGACTGCGGATATCCATTTTAATTAGGTTATTGCTTAAGGATCATAATTAGCCTGGAATCTTTTGGAAAATTTGTAGACTACTTTATAAAGTTACATAAAATTGTGAAAAAGTTGCATGCTTTAAAAATTTAGTATTTCCATCAAGCTTGTGGTCTAAAAAGAGTATGAATACAATAGCAAATGGATGTTTTTTTAACACAGTTTCTTGGTATTTACAGTAATTTTTTTTCTCTATTTGCTGTCCCTTCGGTGTCAGTCATTTGGTTTTCTGGTTTTTTTTCCTCATCACATTCAGTACAAGGAGGCACTGATTCATCCTGTCAAAGAATATGGAAAAGATAATTAAACTCAAAAATGTTTAATGTAAAAATTAAACAGTAACTCAAGTATCTCAACAAACTTCTTACAGAAAACCAATGCCAGGCAGAAAATAAGTGTTAACACTTACTTTTGTTAACACTGTTACTTTGTGAAAGCACATAAAATATGTTTTACAAATAGAAAAAATTTCAAAAACTTTTTTGAGAAAACTTTGGCCAAACCATTCAAACTTTGATTAATCTAACCCCCAAATTGAAAATGTTGTGTTAAGTAAATTGAAAGGACCCTGATGCTGGGAAAGATTGAGGGCAGGAGAAGGGGATGACAGAGGATGAGATGGTTGGATGGCATCACCAACTCAACGGACATGAGTTTGGGTAAACTCTGGGAGCTGGTGATGGACAGGGAGGCCTGGTGTGCTGCGGTTCATCGGGTCGCAAAGAGTCGGACACGACTGAGCGACTGAAGTAAAATGACTCTTAATAATTGCTATGATGCAATATATTTGGTCAAATATATAACTTCTAGATAGAAGTTCAGTATTAAGCTCCTGAGTTATGTTTGTTACTTGTTTTGTGGGGGATACGTATGTCTTTCTACCTTCTGTTTCTCAAGTCTTCATTTATCTTCTTTGTCCTCTAAGGAATGTAAGTGTACTTTTTGTTTTCTGTTTACTTTTGTTTTGTTCCTTGGTTGCTGGGGAAGGGTAAGACACCTCCCTTGCCCTTGTTCTTCTAGGACTTCAGCTAATCAAATCGAAGCTTAGTGGCAGGCACAGTGGCCATAGAAAGGTCCAGAGGCAATAGGTGAAAAATATATCTTGTATTAGGTAATACAGCATCCTGGCTTCAGCTAGAGCAAGGGAGAAAATCATAGAACCCATGAGCTTCAAAAAGTGTTTTCTGACAATCCAACAATCAAACAAAATACCTGTGGGACAGGTGATGATTCTGCAGTGTCATTGTTTGGAAGATTTTCATCCTGCTTCGTAGAACAGACTGTGCTCTCCTGTAAAAGCTGCGATTGAAAGAAGGTCAGTGAAGTTAAATTAAATGAAGGAAAGGAACAGAAAATCTCGCTTGAAATCTTCCCATTGGTAAATTTCCTTCACTTTGAGACAAGGTCAAGTGAGGGACAAAATGATCACAACATTACTGAGATCCCAGGGAGAAGGCAATTATTCACAGTCCATTTGAGGGTCTCAGTGATGCTTATGACAGACAGCTACTAAAAAAAAAAAGCTCAATTCCAATGAAAAATTCTTTCTTTGCAAAAAGTTTTAAAAAATAAAGAGTCGCACAACTACTATATGCTATTATCCCTGATGTATCTAGACTCTAAGATTTAAATATGTTCATGGTCTATGTGCTTTCAAGAACATCAAGATTGCAAGCCAGAAAACAATGTAAACGTTATGATCATTGTAAGAAAAAAAAAAAGCAAAAAACTGAAACCACAATTAAATGGAATCAATCAGGAGACCAAAAAGGGAGCTCTCATATGCCACAACAATAGTAGAGCCCAACAAGATGAAGACAGACTTCTCTTCTTTCCTGGCAACAATTCAGCCCATGAAAAGCCAAGAACTCTGTTTATTGTAGCCCTTCCAACCCTCTTTTCCCCTCCATAAAAAGTTATTTTTCCTTTGCTTTGTGGGGACTTGGACCTTGCTCACCATGATTGCAGATGCCCAAATTGTAATTTTCTACCAATTCCAAGTAAACACATAATTGCTGAAGACATGTCTATCAGTCTGTCTGTTTTGGTCAACATCTGTCTAGCAAAAAATCTTCAACACCTTAAAAAAGATTATATTTGTGCAAATAACATCATATATTTCACTAACCAGGATATCCCTTCTTACTTACTAGCTTCCATAGTCTTAAAGAAAATGACTTACTGGCAGCATATTCCAGCTGGCTTTCATTTTCATATTAACCAAGGGTTAAAATATTGAATTTCTCTTCCTCCATCCCTCTCTTTCTTCCTTCTTCCTCAGTCAGCCTCTTTTCCCTCTTTTCCTCACTGCCTCTCAATTCTCCCTTCATCTCTTCCTTTTCTTCTCATCATTTTTTTTAACTTAAACACATTTTTAAAGTATATGTCAAAACTGTTAAATATAAGAATATGTACTTTTTAGTGATATTTCTATAATCCTTTCCCTGTAGAAAATGTATAAAACAGAGACTGGGAGTCTAATAGTTCATGGCCACTGTGTAACTCTAACCTTGAACAAGTTAGTTTCTTTGAAGTCAAACAAGGAGGATACCTAAGTTGGCTTTGAAATCTTAACTTTCTAGGAGTGGATGATAACTAAAGAAATTGTGTAGGATATTTAACCTACTCCAATTCAGATTTGAAAGCAAAGTTATTCTTACCTGCTCCCTATTATTACTCTACATGGGTCCTAACTGAACGTTCAGCATGTTACTTCACTCTTCTGTGGCTGTGTAGTATGCACTCCCCTCTACACCTTCATGACAGTCCCTCTTCACTGTGAGATCCTGAAGACCAGCTAGTTTCTCCCTTCCTAGCACATTATTTTCACCACTAGACAGGCTCATCAAACTTTCACTAAAGGTACAGTGCATTAGAAACATTGACACCAAATGATTTTATATGTATGTGTATGTCTGATTCCTCAATATATTCTAAGTTCCTTGAAGATACAGCCTACATTTTTCAGCTCTAGATCCCAGCTAGATGCCTATTAGATAGCAAATGGTCATATGTAGTCACTGAGTAAATAAATGAATAAAAGGAACATTGGCTATGAAAATATTTTAGTCCTTTTGAATTTTCATAAGTGTCTGAGTTTGTCAAATGATAAGATTTAGTTATATTTGATAACAGCTCCAAACGGGTTGTACAATAGCCTCTTCTTCAAAATAAGTCTACAGTATATAGAAGAGTAGTTGAAATTTTGACTGCCTTAGTCCAAAGAATTTTAAGCAGCTACATGAGGAATCTTCTGTACTAATTTTTTTTTTCTTTTTATGTTGTATGGGTTTGAGTTACACCCAGAAACTAAAATTTCCCTGGAATATTACAAGTATTTTGTTTTTATTGTAATAATACAACTGACCTTTGTTTTTATTATACTTGCCTTTGGCCTTGGAGGGGGAAAAACTAAAATGTACAAAATCAAGCTCAAAATGCAGAAAGTAAATGCAGAGTATAAGGCTTCCCAAAATATATTTTTGAATAGTGGAGTATATAAGTTACATAAGTTTGAGGAAACCTTTACTTGAACATTAAACAATGGTATTTAAGATAGTTCTTCTCAGAGTCTTTAACACAAAATTTCTTAAATCTTTGGTCTTGAATGATCTTCTAGCATAATCATATAGGGTGCTTGCTAAATATAATACTCCTGGGTGATAATTCAGTCTTATGAATATAGGGCTTGCATTTTTAATCAGCAATCCAGCAATTCAAATGAACAGTGAAATTTGAAATCCACTTCTTTGTAATGTATAAACGTATTATAAATCTCTTAGGAGATATGATATAACCATTTCCTAAATACATTTGACCTCAAAAGCATTTTTTGTGCATCAGGTATTACTTGAGGTCATTGTCTTGAGAAAGATACCATAGGATTTATGGTGGAGTATGGTAAGCACAGCTGACTATTTGACACAAGCCTTTGATCATCTGAACAATGAAATTTTTAAATTTCAACATTAAAGAAAATATTTTGTGGCTGGAAGACAATTCTAACCTTTTTGATACTTTGATCTTACAATGAACACAACCTTTAAGTTTATTTTTGTGTGTGCCTCACAGGCATTGTGGAAACTTCTTGAGATGGGATTCATAAAATCCCTAGTGTTATTCAGAAAGGCAACAAATTTAAGCACTTCTGAAGGCACAAACCTTCAAACTACTCTCAATTAGATAAAATTCAACCTGATGAATATTGTACCTATTTCTAGAAACTCAAGTAATAAAATATGGAGATTGATCAGGAAAGTCTGCACAGATTCACCTACTTCAATGTGCAGCTCAACTATTAATTAAACAGGCGACCTAGGTGGGTCTGTAAATTATGAAATGGGATGAGCCATGAACATATCTTTATTAAAGTAATTACACACTCTTTCTCACATACGCATCTTCACCAACACCTCCAGAATCACCAGTTTGTTTCTGTGCTTTGGGCACAGATTACTATCTGACAAAATGTTATATTATGGCCACAAAAGTAGGCAAAGTAATAACAAATTTAGTTGAGAGAAGCCCCTTTAATTATTTATCTCTGTGTGGAAAAAATATATAAGCCTACCATGTTGGTGCAGACTCTAATACTGGAGTATCCTTAACAATGGTCAGGATTCTTATTTTAATGGCTGGACGTCATGCATAAACAAATTTGAGTCCCAACTCCATCTCCTACTATCTTTATAAGAGAAAAAAAAACCTTTTTATTTTGTATTGGGGTATAGCCAATTAACAGTGTTATAATCTCAGCCATACTTATACCTGTATCCATTCTCCCCCAAACTCTCCTTCTATCCAGCCTGTCACATGACATTGAGCAGAGTTCCCTGAGCTATACAGTAGTTCTTTGTTGGTTATCCATTTTAAATATGGCAGTGTATACAAGTCTATTCTAAACTCCCTAACTATTCCTTTCCCCCAACATTCCCTCATCCTCACCCCCTGCAACCATAAGTTCATTCTCTAAGTCTGTGAGTCTGTTTTATAACTAAGTTCTCTGTATCATTTCTTTTTAGATTCCACATATAAGGGATGTCATATAAGCTTTCTCCTTCTCTGACTTACTTCACTCAGTATGACAATCTCTAGGCCCATCCATGTTGCTGCAAATGGCATTACTTCATTATTTTCAAAGGCTGAGTAATATTCCAATATCTTTGATAATGAGCTTTGAGGTTTCTGATATTTTGAGATTTGATATTTTACAGAAAAATAAGAGTAAACATCAATAACAAATTTTAACATCAGAACAAATAAACCAACAAGCAAAATCCACTGCTAGTTTCAGCAATATTTCAGAGAAGGAATAACATTTTAATACTAATATATGTAAAGGATCAAATATCAAAAATTATTTTTGAGAATCAGAGAGAAAGAAAGAGAGACTGGTTCATAGAAAATCCACTAATATTCTGTTATTTGACATTAAATGTCAGTTTTCTACATTCCTATACTGTTGAAAACTTCATGACAGGGCAGTACTTGTTAGTGAAATGATGGATGGGAAATACCAATTTGACTTCACTTTTCCTTCATTTGTGAAATGGGGATAATGATGCATACATTCAAAATTTCTGACATCAAGTGAAATGAGTTAATGAAAGTAACTCAGCTAGGTGAATGGAGTAAAGAGTCCATCGGGGTTAGAATTCCTTTAGCTCTTATTTGGTGTGTACACTTGGGAAAGTTACTTTATCTTAAGGAGGTTCTGATTCCTTATCTGTAGGGTAGGCAAAATGATCCTTACTTTACAGGCGTTTTGATGAAATAAAATGTATACAGTGGTTTCTAAAGGAGTATTTTGCATGTATTAGACGCTCAATTAGGCTTAGTTCCTACTGTTTCTTTCCCTTCCTAAGGTTTTTTCCTTCTGTCAAAATTTCTCCATTTTGTTGACAAATATTTGTATCAGAATGGAAACACAGCTATTCAGTCATTTTAATTTTCAGTCGTGGTGTCAACATAATGACCCTGGTCATTGGATGGTCTTGACATTGCCAAAGAATGTGTGGCTGTCCTTGATCCTTTCCTGTTTATGATTTAACAGGGCAGGAAAAATGTCAGATTAACCATCCACCTGTCTTCCTTGAGAAATCTTAACCTTGGAGAATGCCTTTATCCTTCCTGAATTTTCATTTGTTTTCTTCCTTAAGGCAGAATCAGCAGATCAATCTAACCAACTTATTAAGGAACGTTCACATCTTTGGCTTCAGTGCAAATATCCCAGTTAGAAAATAGGGAAATTCTTAGGTAGTTAGAATAGGGAAAGAGAGTCCAAAATGGCGGTGGCTAAA